ACCCTGGTCCTGTCCCTGAACCCACCCTGGTTCTGTTCCCAAACCCAGCCCTGGTTCTGTCCCCAAACCCACCCTGGTTCTGTTCCCAAACCCACCCTGGTTCTGTTCCCAAACCCACCCTGATTCTGTCCCCGAACCCACCCTGGTTCTGTCCCCAAGCCCACCCTGGTCCTGTCCCCAAACCTGGTTCTGTCCCCAAACCCACCCTGGTTCTGTCCCTGAACCCACCCTGGTCCTGTCCCTGAACCCACCCGGGTTCTGTTCCCAAACCCAGCCCTGGTTCTGTCCCCAAACCCACCCTGGTTCTGTCCCCAAACCCACCCTGGTCCTGTCCCTGAACCCACCCTGGTTCTGTTCCCAAACCCAGCCCTGGTTCTGTCCCCAAACCCACTCTGGTTCTGTCCCCAAACCCACCTTGACTCTGTCCCCAAACCCACCCTGGTTCTGTCCCCAAACCCACCCTGGTTCTGTCCCCAAACCTGGTTCTGTCCCCAAGCCCCCCCTGGTCCTGTCCCCTCACGGGGCTCGGTGGGTTCGGGCTCCCCACGCTGGGGCTTCTCCGGGGGTTCATTGGGGGAGATCAGCGAGGGGCAGGGCACTGATGAGACTTTAATAAATGCAGCAGTGCCTGGGCGGGGGTGCTGAAAGCCAAGTGGACCAGCCCTTGGTGAGGAGGCAAAACTCACCCACCTACAGGTGGTTTGGAACTGGTTCTCTCCCTGTTTTCAGCTCGGACTTCGCCTCATTTCCATGTAAATAAGAAGCAGAAACACCCAAACAAGAAGCTTCCAGTGCCCCGACAGCTCATAATTTATGTTGATGGTGTCCCTGCCAAGCAATACCTGCACACCCAACCCCAGCCAGGTCCCCAGGGGACCAAAGCAGCCCAGCAGCTCTTTCTGGGAGAAAACCTTTGATCATCCCTGTCCTCGACTCGCAGGTGTTGCAAAACCCACGATTGCTGCTGCCTGCTCTCAGGTGTTCACGTAGGTCAGGGTGTTTGGGAGAGAGAAAAAAGCCAGCAGTGTGGTTTTGGGGCAGGCTGGAGGCCAAATCCTGCACGGTGCAGCTCTGGATGTGCCCCTTCGTGGATGGGCAGAGTCCAGAATTGTGGGATCATGGAATGGTTGGGTTGAAAGGGACCTGAAAGCCCATCCAGTTCCACAGGCAGGGACACCTCCCACTATCCCAGGTGGCTCCAACCTGGCCTTGGACACTTCCAGGGATGGGGCAGCCACAGCTTCTCTGGGAAATCCATTCCAGGGCCTCCCCACCCTCCCAGAAAGGAATTTATTCTGTATATTAACTTCAATTCCCCCTCTTTCCCTTTGAGCCCCTTATCCTTGTCCTGGATAATGTGATAGCAGAGTCCCCCTCCAGCTTCCTCATAGCCCCTTCAGATCCTGGGAGGTGCTGGGAGGTCTCCACACCCCCACCTCTCCTTCTCCAGGCTGGACAGCCCCACCTTTCCCAGCCTCTCCTGGTCACGGAGCTCGGGGTGTTTTGGAGAGAAAGAAGTCCAGGATTGTGGGTCTGGGACATACTGGAGGCCAAATCCTGCCGGGGGTCACTCTGGACGTGCCCCTTTATAGACTGGCAGAGTCTGGAATCACGGAATCGTGGAATTGTTGGGTTGGAGGGACCTTAAAGCCCATCCAGTTCCACGGGCAGGGTCATCTTCCTCTATCCCAGGTTGCTCCAACCTGGCCTTGGACACTTCCAGGGATCCAGGGGCATCCTCTGGGAAATCCATTCCAGGGCCTCCCCCCCTCCCGGGGAGGGATTTATTCCGTGTGTTTAACTTCCATTCCCCCTCCTCCTCTCTGAGCCCGGGCTCTGGCAGAGCTGATCCCCGTGGACAGACGGAATCCCCACGGACAGACAGAATCCCCATGGACAGACAGAATCCCCGCGGACAGACGGAATCCCCGCGGACAGACGGAATCCCCATGGACAGACAGAATCCCCATGGACAGACGGAATCCCCGCAGACAGACGGAATCCCCATGGACAGATGGAATCCCCATGGACAGACAGAATCCCCGCGGACAGACGGAATCCCCACGGACAGACGGAATCCCCGCGGACAGACGGAATCCCCATGGACAGACGGAATCCCCATGGACAGATGGAATCCCCGCGGACAGACGGAATCCCCATGGACAGACAGAATTCCCATGGACAGACGGAATCCCCACGGACAGACGGAATCCCCATGTCCTCCTCCGGCTCTGGAGCCCCCAGGCCTCGTTTGCTCCTGGCCACAGCCCAGCCCAGGAGGGACAGGGGGTGGTTTTGTGTGGCTCTCACCCCTCCTGCACGGCGGGGCCGGAGGGAGGGGAGGGTGAGAGCCCCGAGTGACGGTTCCCCCTTTCTGGGCAGCCCCACCTTTAATCCCATCCCGTTCACTCCGCTGCTCACTCCGCTCTCCCGCGGCTCCCAACCCGTTTGGCAGCTTCAGGCCCATCTGCCCTCCCTGGGGAACCGGAACACAAACCTCATTTTGGGAACACAAACCTCGTTTTGGGAACACAAACCTCGTTCTGGGAACACAAACCTCGTGTTCCCATCGCAGCTGGGCCTGGATTTGCTGCAAACCCTGCAGGCTGTGGGTGATTGGGAATTCTGAGTGATATCCCAGGCCTGGATTTGCTGCAAACCCTGCAGGCAGTGGGTGATTGGGAATTCCCAGTGACATCCCGGGCCTGGATTTGCTGCAAACCCCATGCTCAGGAATTCCCAGTGACATCCAAAGTGACATCCCAGGCCTGGATTTGCTACAAACCCTGCAGGCAGTGGGTACTCGGGAATTCCCAGTGACATCCCGGGCCTGGATTTGCTGCAAACCCTGCAGCTTTTCCCCGATAATCAGATTTTTGGAGTTCTGTGCTCAGCAGCAGCTGCTTCCCTGCTCTGCCAGAGATGCCAGTGGGGTTTTAGCTCGTCCCTCGTGGGTTTGGAGCACTTGGGGCTCACGGAGGTGTTTTGAAGGGCGTGTACAGTCCTGTCCTGGAAATGTGTTTAAAACCCCAGTCATGTGCAGGGCCCGGGCAAAGCCAGCGCTGAAAACCAGCTGAGCTCTGAAATTTGGTGAATAAAATACTCCAGACACAGATTTACAAAGTCTGAGATGCCAGAAAGTGTCACCACACCCCGTTCAACCGGAGCTTTCTTCTTTTTTTTCTTTTTTTTTTTCCCCCCCAAGGACTCCAGGAAGTAAAAAAAGGAGAATTTGTGGGAGTGTTTTTCATGCTGGTTAAAAATCTGCTTTTGGAGGCGTTTTGAATGGAAGGTTCAAAGGTCTTTAAAAGGAATCAGAGCTGGGAAAGAGCCAGAAACTCAGGACTGGCAACATGAAGCAGGCAAATCACATCCTTCCAGAGAGCTGGGCAGGGAGTTTTCCAGAAAATCGGCCTCTTTTATTGGAATAATTTTGAGGTCAAGATGAAAATGCATCGATCACACAATCACTTGGCAGGAGAAATCCCAACAGCGGCCCCTGGCTGGGATGGAATTGTCCTCTGGAAGTGCAAACATCAAGGAGAGAGGCCCAGAAAAACCTGCCCTAAACCAAATAACTGAGACAAAATGGGCCAAAACTCGGGGTGCCATTTAAATATGTGGAAATGGGAAAGAGGCAAAGTGGGTCAGGACCTGTTTGTGCCAGCCCAGCAGGCAGTCCCTGCCCAGCCGGTGGGAACAGGCAGACTGGAGAAATGGGAGCCCCAGCAGAGCTGTCAGGGCTCATCAGCGTCTCACCCGCCCTCTCCTCCAGGGGAAGAGGCCCCAGGAGCTATTTGGGTCCAGATTTGGCCATTTTATTCTCCCAGGACTCTGCCCTGAGCTCTGTGTGGATCTGCTGCACCCTGGGAGCAGAACTGGGGGATCCCGGGTGGGTTTAATACCTTTAAAAGGCCTTTTCTGTCACCTCACCGAGGCTGCCAGAGCTCCGGGAGGGTTTGGATGATCCTCCGGGGCACAGGGTGGGACTCCTGGGGATGGGCCTGTGCGGGGCCGAGGGCTGGACTCCATGGTCCTCCTGGGTCCTTCCAACTCGGGATATTCTGGGATCCACAGCGAGGGAATAATGGAAGCCCAGAATGGGATTTGAGGGCTGGACTCGACTGTCCCTGTGGGTCCCTTCCAACTCGGGATATTCTGGGATCCACAGCGAGGGAATAATGGAAGCCCAGAATGGGATTTGAGGGCTGGACTCGACTGTCCCTGTGGGTCCCTTCCAACTCGGGATATTCTGGGATCCACAGTGAGGGAATAATGGAAGCCCAGAATGGGTTGTGTGGGAAGGGATCTTAAAACCCATCCAGTTCCACCCCCTGCCATGGGCAGGGACACCTTTTATTGGACCAGGGACACATTCTGTTGGACCAGGGACACCTTCCACTGGACCAGGGACATCTTTTATTGGCCCAGGGACACCTTCTATTGGACCATGGACACCTTTCACTGGACCAGAGACACCTTTTATTGGACCAGGGACACCTTTTATTGGCCCAGGGACACCTTCTGTTGGCCCAGGGACACCTTCTGTTGGCCCAGGGACACCTTCCACTCTCCGAGGTTGCTCCAGCCTGGACTTAAGCACTCCCAGGGCTGGAGAAATGAATCCAAATTAACCCAGCACGTCCCTGCAGAGGTTCTGCACCCAGGGCTGGGCTCTCCCTGCCAGGAATCCGGGCGTTAGGTAACCCCTTCCAGCTGAGCAGATCCCCAGCGGCCCCGTAGGTGTGTTTGGGTGCCATCAGTGCTCACCCGAGTCTCAGGGAGACACCTGGCTCCGGGCACGTCAAAACCATGAGGGCACCGGCTTGATCACTGGACTTCCACACAGCCAAGCCCAGCTGGCGGGGGGATAAAAGGGGAGTCCCACCCTGCCTGCCCGCAGAGAGCAGAGTCTCTCTGGGCGCCGCGTCTCGCCCGCGGGCTCGTCCCTCCAGAGCGGGCTCTTCCTCCCTCCAGAGCGGGCTGTCCCCTCCTGCACCATGAACAGAACCTTCAGCATGAGGGCAGGGCCCGGGGGCAGGTCCTACAGCGCTGCCTCGGCCATCGTGCCCAGCAGCAGCAGGGCTGGCTTCAGCTCCGTGTCCGTGGCACGGGCAGGAGGAGGAGGAGGAGGAGGAGGAGGGGGCGGCTTTGGGAGGCTCGTCGGGGGAGGTGGAGGCGGTGGCGGGGGAGGTTTTGGCAGCAGGAGCCTCTACAACCTCGGGGGCAGCAAGAGGATCTCCATCGGGGTCGGGAGCAGCTTCAGGGCCGCCTTTGGGGGGGGAGCTGGAGGGGGCTCCGGGCTGGGAGGGGGTGCAGGGGGTGGTGCTGGGCTGGGGCTCGGTGCCGGGGGTGCTGGTGCCGGGCTGGGGCTCGGGCTCGGTGCAGGAGGAGGGTTTGGGGGTGCAGGGGCTGGCGCTGGGCTCGGGCTGGGGCTCGGCGGGGCAGGAGGAGGGTTCGGCTTCGGTGGAGGGGCTGCGGGGCCGGGCTTTGGGGGCGGGCTCGCGGGACCAGGAGGGTTCGGCTTTGGGGGGGCCGGGGGGCTGGGAGGGTTCCCCGGGGGGTTGGGAGGGGGCAGGATCCCGGCGGGATTCGCCGGTGGCCCCTCCGGGGTCGGCACAATCCAGGAGGTGACGGTGAACCAGAGCCTGCTGGCCCCCCTGAACCTGGAGATCGACCCCAGCATCGGCCAGGTGCGCAAGGACGAGAAGGAGCAGATCAAGAGCCTCAACAACAAGTTCGCCTCCTTCATCGACAAGGTGAGGCTCCGGCGGGGGCTGCGGGTTCGGACGAGGGACAGAAGGAACCTTGCAGGTACAAAAACACAACTCCACTGAGCCACACTCGTCTCCTGCCCGTTCCCTGCCCGCGGGGCTTCGTCAAACCCCTCAAAAAATAACGTCCTGCTGAGCACTTACAGGGCAGAAAACGAGGCTTGATGCTTGTAATAACAGCGTTAGGTCCAGGTTGCGTGCCTCATAAATAGCATTTAGGATTAGTTTAAACAGGACAAGGCAGTTTTAGTCCAGCTCTGGTGGCTCGACCATCTCTCTCTGTGGGGGATCACAGCGGGTGTGTTGCTCTTGGTTATGGCCTGCGAGATAAAATCCTTTTATGGTGACTCAACTTGAGTCCTCCCTCGGCTTTTAATTGGATAAATCAGTGGCACGTGTGAGCAAAGGGAAAGGCAATTAAGTCTTCTAACTGTAGAAGGCTTGGCTTTAAGGAAGGAAGATAAATATCTTCCAAGGTAAAAAAAAAAAAAAAAAAAAAAAAAAAAAACAAAAAACCAACCCAAAGGATGTTAAAGAAAAGCCAGTGGGGAAAGAGCTGAACCCTCATTTTCTAATCGTTGCACGTTGGCTTCATAAATTAAGAGAACTGTCCCCCGAGGGAGGATTTGCTCAGGTGCAGGATGGGCTGGATAATCCAGAGGATATTCCCAGCTGGATTTGACAGGGAGCTGAACAGGAGCCAGAGTGTGCCCAGGGGGACAAGAGGGCCAATGGATCCTGGCCTGGCTCAGGAACAGGGTGGCCAACAGGGCCAGGGCAGTGATTCCTGCCCTGGACTCAGCACTGGGGAGGCCACCCCTGGAGTGCTGTGTCCAGTTCTGGGCCCTCAGCTCAGGAAGGACATGGAGGGGCTGGAGCAGGGCCAGAGGAGAGCAACGAGGCTGGGGAAGGGACTGGAGCACAAGTGCTGGGAGGAGAGGCTGAGGGAGCTGGGGGGGCTCAGCCTGGAGAAGAGGAGGCTCAGGGGAGACCTCCTCACTCTCTGCAACTCCCTGACAGGAGGGGGGAGCCGGGGGGGGTTGGTCTCTTTTCCCATCAGCAAGACAAGAGGGCTGGGTCTGCAGCCGTGCCAGGGGAGGGTTAGGTTGGATATCAGGAAGAATTTCTTTGCAGAGAGGGTGCTCAGCCCTTGGAATGGGCTGCCCAGGGAGGGGGTGGATTCTCCATCCCTGGAGGTGTTTAAGGACAGACTGGATGTCCATCAGTGCCATGGGCTGGGAACCACGGCGGGGTTGGATCGAGGGTTGGACTGGATGATCTGGGAGGTCCCTTCCAGCCCGGCTGACTCTGTGACTCTCTGATTTAACGCCTTTGCTCATTCTTGTGCCCAACCCCTCCCCGGCGCTCAGGTCCGGTTCCTGGAGCAGCAGAACAAGGTGCTGGAGACCAAGTGGACCCTCCTGCAGGAGCAGGGGCAGAAGAACAACTCCGGCAAGAGCAGCCTGGACCCGCTGTTCGAGGCCTACGTGGGCAACCTGCGGCGGCAGCTGGGCAACCTCCTGGGCGAGAGGGGCCGCCTGGACGGCGAGCTCAGGAACATGCAGGACCTCGTCGAGGACTTCAAGAACAAGTGGGTGTCCCATGGGAGGCGTTGCCTGAAAGATTCGGGAGGAGAAAAAAACACTCCGAGGCGATTTAGAGAGGAGGGAAGAAAAGGGAAGGGTTTAATGGAGCTTCTCCGGGCTCTGGGAAATACAGAACTGCTGCCCCCGAGCCGGGGTTACAGTTTTATGATAATGTTCATCAATCCCTGATTTATCCACCCCCGAACCCGGTGTTACAGTTTTATAATAATGTCCATTATATATTTTGTAATAATTTTATAATTTTATAATAATGCCCTGATTTATCCACCCTGACCCAGTGTTAGTTTTATAATAATGTCCATTATATATTTTGTAATAATTTTATAATTTTGTAATAATGTCCTGATTTATCCACCCCTCGACCCGGTGTTACAATTTTATAATAATGTCCATCTAATCCCTGATTTATCCACCCCTAGCCCAGTGTTAGTTCTGTAATAATGTCCATTATATATTTTATAATAATTTTATAATTTTATAATAATGCCCTGATTTATCCACCCCCCGGCCCAGTGTTAAAATTTTATAATAATGTCCATTACATGTTTTGTAATAATTTTATAATTTTAATGCCCTGATTTATCCACCCCTGACCCAGTGTTAGTTTTATAATAATGTCCATTATATATTTTATAATAATTTTATAATAATACCCTGATTTATCCACCCCCTGACCCAGTGTTACAGTTTTATAATAATGTCCATTATATATTTTATAATAATTTTATAATAATGCCCTGATTTATCCACCCCTGGCCCAGTGTTAGTTCTGTAATAATGTCCATTATATATTTTATAATAATTTTATAATAATGCCCTGATTTATCCACCCCTGGCCCAGTGTTAGTTCTGTAATAATGTCCATTATATATTTTATAATAATTTTATAATTTTATAATAATGCCCTGATTTATCCACGGGGAATATGGAACGGGGTGAGAGGGTTGGGTGTGTGTGCAACCTCTGTGCTGAAGGGGGAGGGAATAAGTGCAGCCGCTTCTGAAATCTGCAGAACCTCTTCCAAAACCTGTAAATAAAAAATCAAAAACCAAAAAAAACCCCAAAAACCAGCCCTTAAGGCAACAGAGACGATTCCAGGGGAAACGGGGTGGGAACAGCTCAGGATTACATTGGGCTCCCCTTACATTGGGCTGCAGGATTTTTACCCCCAGAAGGCTCCGAAGGGGCTCCCCGGGGTTTGGTCACGGCCCCAAAAGGCTGAGGGAGCTCCAGGAGCGTTTGGATCACGCCCCGCAGGAGCTGGGATTTTGGGATTGGGGGGATTTTTGGCGTGGTCTGGGGGCTGGGCTGGGAGGTCCTCGTGGGTCCCTTCCAACTCAGCAGATTTTTTTTTTTTTCTCTGTGATTCCGTGGTTAATCTTAAAAATGTCCATTTCTGGAGGGCAAACATCAGACCTGAGATACCCGTGGAAATTTCTACAGGACAGGGGAAAAAGTATCTCCAGTTTGTGCTGTAGCCACTAATATAACCTAATTAATCCCTCCTAATGCACCACTGCTCTGCGGTTTCTCTCCTTGGAGGACCCCAGAAAGGGTCCATGGACATTTTTCCCATCAGGAAACGCCGGCTCAGCCAGGACATGACACCTTGTGGTGGCACTTGCAGAGGAAAATCCCCTAAACCACCTTTACCCTCCTCGTCCCTCCGGCATTAAATCAGAAATGTCCTTTCAGCCCTTTGAGAAAAGGGGATCTCACACCTTTGAGCTGGAAGGTTGACTTGGAGGTGCCCAGATCCCCTCCCAGCCCTCCCTGGGCACCTGTTCTGCTTGCCCAGGTGTGACCCAGCCCCTCTTTGCCCTCCGTCCCCGCAGGTACGAGGAGGAGATCAACCGGCGCACGGCGGCCGAGAACGAGTTCGTGGTGCTCAAGAAGGTGGGTGAGACGGGAGGGGTCGGGATGCTGAGCCCACCCCAGACCTGGGAATGTCCCGAGCCATGGGAGATCTCATGGAGCTGCGTCCCGGTCCTTTGGAAGGGCTTTAAACCCCCGTTGGGATCATGGGTTTGGGGAATAGGATGGAGGGGGCTGAGGGGCGGCTGAAAATCTCCTCCCGCTCACCCGGGGCTCACCTGGGTAAAAACGGGCCGTGGGGAGACAGAGGGGGCCAGAAGCGCCAGGAATTCCAGGTGCTGAGGCCAAACAGCTGGGATTTCTCTCCTTATCCCCTTCCCAATCCCACTGTTTTGGGGCCAGAGCTGCCCCCCCCTGGTGCCCTGTGCCGAGCCCGGCTGCTCCCCCAACCGTTCCATGATTCCACGACTGCCGAGCCAAAGCGCCTCCTCTGGGGTGAGAGGAGGCTCCAGACGCCCCCGTGGCTGCTCTTTCGCAGGACGTGGACGCTGCCTACATGACCAAGGTGGAGCTGGAGGCCAAGGTGGACGCGCTGAGCGACGAACTCAACTTCCTGCGCGCCCTCTACGAGGCGGTACCGACACCCCCCAATTCCCCGTCCTGCTGTCACCCCCCGGCCGGGGACCCCCCGAGGGAAGGAGGGGAGTGATCCCCACGTGTCTCCCCGCAGGAGCTGGCCCAGCTCAGCGCCCAAGTGTCCGACACGGCCATCATCCTGTCCATGGACAACAACCGCGACCTGGACCTGAGCAGCATCATCGCCGAGGTGAAGGCGCAGTACGAGGACATCGCCAACCGCAGCCGCGCCGAGGCCGAGGCCTGGTACCAGACCAAGGTGAACGGCCCCGGGATCCCACGGGAAATCATGGAATGGGGCTGTCGGAGCCACGGCTTGGCCCCTGGGACACCCCAGAGGGTTCGTCCTCCCTTCTGCCCCTCAGTGTGAGGGGTTTCAGTGAATTGGGACACCCCAGAGGGTTCACTTTCCCTCCTGCCCCTCAATTTGAGGGGTGTCAGTGAATTGGGACACCCCAGAGGGTTCATTCTGCCTTCCACCCCTCGGTTTGAGGGGTTTCAGTGCATTGGACACCCCAGAGGGTTCACTTTTCCTTCTGTCCCTCAGTTTGAGGGGTTTAAGTCCCCTGGGACACCCCAGAGGGTTCACTTTCCCTCCTGCCCCTCAGTGTGAGGGGTTTCAGTGAATTGGGACACCCCAGAGGGTTCACTTTCCCTCCTGCCCCTCAGTTCGAGGAGCTGCAGGCCACGGCGGGCAGACACGGCGACGACCTGCGCAACACCAAGGGGGAGATCTCGGAGCTCAACCGGCTCATCCAGAGGATCCGCTCCGAGATCGAGAACACCCGGAACCAGGTAGGGACGGGCTGGACGAGCCCGTGGAGCCCCGTTCGGTGCTGCCTCAGCTCTGCTTTGCTGCTCGGGGGCTTTAACAGCCTCACTGGAGCGTTGAATTCCCTCCTGGAAAGGGCTCCGGGCTCTCAAATTCCGTTTTCGAGCCGTTGTTGCCGGGCTGGCGTCCCAGCTCCAGCCGGGGGGGGGAAGGAGCTCGGGAGCAGCTCATTCCATGAACGCCCCAGGAAACCAGGAGGGTTTTCTACCCTTGGGGGCCCGTCCCCCCGAGGGCAGAGCAGCGTTGGGAACCCAACCCTGCCTTGCAGTGTGCCACCATCCAGACGGCCATCGGGGACTCCGAGGAGCGCGGCGAGCTGGCCCTCAAGGACGCCAAGGCCAAGATGATGGACCTGGAGGACGCCCTGCAGAAGGCCAAGGCCGACATGGCCCGGCAGCTCCGCGAGTACCAGGAGCTCATGAACGTCAAGCTGGCCCTGGACATCGAGATCGCGACCTACAGGAAGCTGCTGGAGGGGGAGGAGAGCAGGTGGGGGCAGAATCCCGTCGGGAATTTGGCAGCTCTCGGTTTTCCCCGGTCAGAGGTTGGTTCCTCTGCCCGTGTCCTAAACTGGGCTCTGATCTGCTCCTCATCTGCCCCCCAACAGGCTCAGCGGGGAGGGACTGACCCCCATCAGCTACTGTGAGTGTCCCGGGGCTCCGTCCCCCCGTCCTGCTTCGGGAGGAGGGGCTGGGAGGGACCTTGGGAAAAGGGAGGGGTTGCCCCAAATCAGACATTCGGAGCCCTCCACCCGCAGCAGGGGCTCGCACAGGGCGTGGGAGTTGGGGTCAGGTCCTGTGGGTGAAGGTCCTTCCTGGGAATGGGGGATTGCCCAGGGAAGCTGTGGCTGCTCCATCCCTGGGAGTGTCCAGGGACAGGTTGGAGCAACCTGGGATAGTGGGAGGTGTCCCTGTCCAGGGCAGGGGTGGGATGGGATGGGATGGGATGGGTTGGGATGGGATGGGATGGGATGAGTGTGTGTGTCAACCTGGAGAAGGGAAGGCTCCAGAGAGGCCTTGGAACCCCTTCCAGTGCCTGAAGGGGCTCCAGGAGAGCTGGGGATGGGGGCTCCAGACACCTGGGACAAGGGATGGAGGGATGGAGGGACAGCACACGGGGAATGGCTTCCCACTGCCAGAGGGCAGGGAGAGATGGGATACTGGGAAGGAATTCCTCCCTGGGAAGGTGATGAGGCCCTGGAATGGATTTCCCAGAGGATGCCCCTGGATCCCTGGGAGCATCCAAGGCCGGGTTGGATCCACCTGGGATGGTGGGAGGTGTCCCTGCCCAGGGCAGAGGTGGGATGGGATGAGCTTTAAGGTCCCTTCCAACCCAACCATTCCATGATTCCGTGACTGCCAGCAGGTGTCCAACCCTCTGGTTGCCTTTCCTTGCAGCTGTGATCAGCTCCAGCTCCGGCCTGGCCGGCGGGGCCGGCCTGGGAGGAGGATTTGGTGGACTGAGCCTGAGCGGGGGCGGCGGGAGTGGTTTCGGCCTCGGAGCAGGAGGTGGAAGCGGGTTTGGCCTCGGAGGAGGAGGTGGAAGCGGGTTTGGCCTCGGAGGAGGAGGTGGAAGCGGGTTTGGCCTCGGAGGAGGAGGTGGAAGCAGCTTCGGCCTCGGAGGAGGCGGCGGGAGCGGTTTCGGTCTCGGAGGCGGCGGCGGAGGAGGAGGAGGAGGAGGAGGAGGAAGCTACAGCTTTGGAAGTGGAGGAGGACTCGGACTCGGGGGTGGAGGTGGTGTTGGAGGTGGATTTGGAGGTGGCCACGGAGCAGGAGGCGGCGGCAGCAGCCTGAGCACCAGCGGGGGCAACTTCAGCTCCGGGAGCGCCAAAGGCACCAACCCCGGGGTGAAAATCGTCTCCAAAACCTCCTCCAGCAAAAAGAGCATAAAGAGCCAGAGCCTGAAGAACGCCACGGAGCCCGAGTAGAACCCAGCCCGGGCCCTTCCCAGACCATCCTCCTGCTCCTCCTGCCCCTCCTGCCCCCGTCCTGCCCCTCCGTCCCCTCGCCCGCCCCGGCCCAGCTCCGCAGTTCTCACACCTCCGGATCACAGGCCAAGGAAAACGCCTCAGTCGGAGCTCCCCGAGGCCTTGAGACGGGATTAAAAGGAAAACGTGGGCCTAAGGGACTGTTCCAAAGGGGAATCGGTTTGTTTTTCCGTTTGTTTGTTTTTAATGAGGTTTGTAATTGTGGCCACCCAGCAGCCTCAGCCGAGACGGAGCGGAGAGCAGAGAGTGAGGAGGCAATAAATGGGGTTTTAGCTCAGTTCTGCTCCCCAGCAGCCCAGGGATGGGCTGGGAATGTGGTTTTAACTCCCCCTGCACCTCTGGGATGATCCCAACTCGCTCCTCCACGTTCAGGAACTCCCCTTTGCCGGGGATGGGGGTTATTTTTCTGCTGTGTAGAAACCCCCCGGGAGCTGCTGAGAGATCCCAGGCAGTGGTCTGTGAGCGTGAGGCCCCTCTTAAAAACATCCCTCATTCTGGGAGCACAGAGCCTGCTGGGAGCCACTCCAGCGGGATGAAAAATCCCTCTTTTCCCCGTTCACGGCCAGGGTTGGAAAACCAGGATCAACCAGGATCCTCCAGGCCCCTGAGCCCAGCCAGGGGTTCAGAGTGATGGAATCAGGGAGCAGCCTGAGGTGCCTCCACCTGAAAAGTGCCACCCTCGGGGGGAGGGGGGTGATTCGAGTTGCCACGAGCTTATCCAAAGGCTTTTCCCACATTTCTCTCCCATTCCTGTCCTGGGCACCTGCCACGTGACCTCACGGATGTGCTTTGCCAGAGGGTTCAGCGGTGGCTGATCCCAAACTTATGGAAAAGGGCTCGTTTTCCAAACTGTAGGATTTTTCAAGTTCTAAACGATGTGTGAGACCAAGAGTCCTCTGAAAGCAAGGGCAGTGTTTGCAGAACTGGGTTTCTGTCCCGTCTCGTGCGGGGTTTTTTTGCTGGAATGGCTCAAAAAATTCCCAGATCATCCCACAGTCCAAGTCCCGCCGACCTTTCCCACTGCCTCGGTCGAGGTGAAAGGCTGAGCCGGTGGAAATCACCCTGGAAAAGCTGCCTGAAGGGCCTGGTCCACCTCTCCTGGGGGAATTCCAACTTCTCCCCCACGTCTGGGCTCCTCTGCCGAAGGAAAGACCTTTTGGGAAACTGGGAAGTGCAGCAGGTGGGAAACGAGGCAACGGGGAGCAGGATCCCAAAGGAATCCCGGAGCCCCAAAGCTGATTTCCCCTTTCCTGATGGAATTTACCCCTCTGACCTCCCACCGTCTCTTCTTGATTTTTGGAAAGTCCCATTAAAAAAAGAAAACTGCAGCTTTTGATACTTCCATGGTGTTTTCCTTCCCCTCTCTCTTTTTTTGGGAACGTGTCCAATAAAACCGGATTGTAATTTATCTGTTCTTTTTATTTGCCCTTTTATTTACCATTTTTTATATTCTAAACCAGAACCAGCAGCACGAAAACCTCACTCCCAACCTTCAGCAGAGCGAGCTGGAGGGTCACGTCACTTTGAGGGAAAAGCTTTAAATTCGGATAAAATGGTCACAAAAATGTGGAAATTGGTTGTTTGTCCCAAAATAAATTGAGGAATTGGAGGAAACGGGAGAAGGAGGAAAAGGAGGATGAGGACAAGAAAGAGAAGGAGGAGAAGGAGAAGGAGAAGGAGGAAGAGGAGGAGAAGGAGAAGGAGAAGGAGAAGGAGAAGGAGAAGGAGAAGGAGAAGGAGAAGGAGAAGGAGAAGGAGAAGGAGAAGGAGAAGGAGAAGGAGAAGGAGAAGGAGAAGGAGAGAGAAGAGGAGAAGGAGGAGATCTTTCTATGGATTGAGGAGATCCCCTCTCCAGACTAACCAGGCCCAGATCCCACAGTCTCTCCTCTTCAGGAAGATGCTCCAGAACCCTCCTCATCTTTGTGGGCTTCTTCTGAACCCTCTTCAGGCGTTCCTTGTCCTTGAACTGTGGAGACTAGAGTTGAACACAACACACCAGGGCCAAGGAAAGGGGCAGGATCCTCTCCCTGACCTGCTGGTCACGTTCTTCCCAAATGGAATCCCACGATCCCACTGCCCTCCTGGGCACACAGCTGGCTCACGGTCAACTTGTCACCCTCCAAGCCCCCTTGCCTGCCCAGAGGAGGTTCCAGACAGACCAAAAAATGTCAGGGAAGGTTAAAAATGGACTCTGAGTGCCCTGGATTTCTGTGTGAGTTGCCCAGGACGGGCGTGAGGATTTAAGGCAGCTCAGGATGCCCAACCTTGACCAACCTGGAGAGGGTTGGACGTCCTAATTCCAGCCCCTGCTGCGATAAAAAGCCAGCCAGATCCCCCAGTGGAGCTCTCAGGCAGCTGAGCTGCTGCAAACGCTCAGTCCCTCCTCCCTTGGCTCTGCTCCCTCCCCAGCAGCGCCCTCACCCCCCCCCCCCCCGGTGCCCCCCCATGGCAAATCCCCCCTCTCCACGGGGAACTGTCCCACCTGGGGGGGCCAGCACGTCCCACCCGCAGCCCCGAGCACCTTCCCTTGGTGTGAGTGGCACAAACCAGGCGAGGAGACGCGGGATGAGCGATCCCGCAGGAATTCCCGTGGTTTGGTGCCTGAGCCACCCCCCCGCTTTGCTCTCCCGACCCCTCTGGGACATCCCCCCCAATTCCGTTGTCTGCAGCACGAGGCTTTCCTGGGAGAGCCGGGGAGGCGACCACGGCCTTCCCCGCCCAGGGATCCCTTCTCCGGCTTTGATTAAACCCTTCCCAGGCCCTGCTCGGCTTCCCGGCGGTGGCTTTGCCCGGAGAGCTCCGGGCAGCCCAGGGCAGGTCCCTGCCCGGCCCCCATCCAAGGATCCCGGCGGGATGTGCCGATCCACGGGCACAGGGGAGCGAATCCCCGGGGCTCTGCCGCGCTTGGAACCGGATTGATTTAATTCCAGCAGCAGTATTTCTATTTTTAATTTATCGAGGGGTTCCGGATGGAGTTTTTCCCCCGCGGAGCCGCTTTTCCAGCAGCCGGGATGTTCCCACATCCCCACTGCCGGGGCGAGAGCACCCCCTTGCTACCGGCGCCGTCTCCCTTTCCCAGCGGGATCGGCCCATCCCGGGCTGGGCTCCGATGGGCGCCGCGGGGCCGGTGAGTCACCGCTGGCAATCGCTCGGGGAGCCGGGATTTGGGAGCGTTCGCCGATCGCGGCGGGGCAAAACCCGACAGAACCCGACCAGACCCGACCCAGCCCAACCCAGCCCCCGCCGCTCAGGTCCTTTCAAGTTCCCAGACTGGAAAAAAAAACACAGCGGGGGTTGGAAACGCATCAACACAAACAAGCTCCGAGACGCAGCCGATCCCCTTGAGCTGCTCCTTTTGGAGCGCTTATTGCTCACGTCGGTGGATTCGGGAGGGTTTTTTTTTTTATTGCTCACGTTGCTGAATTCAGGAGATTTTTTTTTTATTGCTCACGTTTGGGAGGGTTTCTTTTTTACTGCTCACGTTACTGAATTTGGGAGGGTTTCTTTTTTATTACTCACGTCGGTGAATTTTGGAGATTTTTTTTTTTTTTATTGCTCACGTTGCTGAATTTGGGAGGGTTTCCTTTTTATTGCTCATGTTGGTGAATTTGGGAGATTTTTTTTTTTATTGCTCGTGTTGGTGAATTTGGGAGATTTTTTTTTTTATTGCTCGTGTTGGTGAATTTGGGAGTTTTTTTTTTTTATTGCTCGCATTGCTGAATTTGGGAGGTTTCTTTTTTATTGCTCACATTGGTGAATTTTGGAGATTTTTTTTTTATTGCTCACGTTGGTGGATTCGGGAGGAATTTTTTTTTATTACTCATGTCAGTGAATTGGAGAGATTTTTGTTGCTGGTGTAGATGAATTTGAGGATGAGTTTTTGGTTTAGGATATTTTTGTTGCTGGTGTAGATGAATTTGAGGATGAGTTTTTGGTTTAGGAGCTCAGGGTTTCATCCCTCAGCCCGTCGCTGTTTTATCACCCGGCCAAGGTGGGAAGAATCCGGTTCAGTGGAACATTTTGGGAGGTGTTTTGGGTGGCAGCGAGGGGGAATCTTCCTTGTGTCCCACATCCAGCTGTTCATGGATCCAGGAGAAGGACCCCCAGCTCTTACCCCGTCCCAAAGCACGACCCAGACTCACCGGGGGGGTTCAAGCTCCTCCTGAGGGTTCACCCCGGGCCACGATCAAGAGGCAAAAGCTATTTTAGAAACATTTTCCAGCACTGACGTGGGAACTGTTGGATAAATACTGAGGGGGGGCGGAAAAAAGTGATAAAAATCCCACTTCAGAGGGAGCTTTTGAACCCTGGGCCTGACAGGGAGAACCTACAGAGCAGCAATCCTTCCAAGCAGCTTTTGACTGGCTGTTTTACGAGTCTCGTGGTGTTGTTTAATCTAATTTGAAGTGATTCTGGAACAGGGATTCGCCTGCTGCCTTTCAGAGTCGTGTTAACTAATTCCTCGGGTTCCCCTGCAACGAGGGGGTGAGGATTTCTTGGGAAGGTCCCAGAAAATAGGGACAGGAGGCAACTCCCACTCAGCTCATCTCTTCAAACCTGCGACCGTTTAGATCCCCCAAAAAACAGAATCTGATTTTGCCATTTGATTTTCCAAAAAAAAAAAAAAAAAAACAAACCAAAGGAATCGAAACATCTGCTCTGCTCATCAAAACCACCTTCACACCCAGCTTCCCAAGCCAACAAATGGGAGACCCACTCCAACAAATTTCCAGCCCCAGAGCTGGAAAATTTGGAAAAGCCCCATTTCTGCCGCTTACGAAACGTGTCCAACCCCAAAAACCCACTTGCAAAACCTTCAGTGAACTAATCCCTCGGTTTCCCCTGCAAAGGGGGGAGATGATTTCTTGGGAAGATCCCAGAAAATAGTGCCAGGAGGCAACTCCCACTCAGCTCATCCCCTCCAGCCCGTGATCGCTCAGATCCAAAAAAAACCCCAAAAAAATCAAATCTGATTTTGCCATTTGATTTCCCCCCCCAAAAAAATAAAAAATTCAAACCATCTGCTCTGCTCCTCAAAACCACCTTCACACCCAATTCCCCAAGCCAACAACAGGAGACCCACGTCCAGCCCCGGAGCTGGAAAACTTGGAAAAGCCCCATTTTCTGCCACTTATGAAACGTGTCCAACCCTAAAACCCAACTTGCAAAACCTTCAGTGAACTAATCCCTCGGTTTCCCCTGCAAAGGGGGGAGATGATTTCTTGGGAAGATCCCAGAAAATAGTGCCAGGAGGCAACTCCCACTCAGCTCATCCCCTCCAGCCCGTGATCGCTCGGATCCAAAAAAAACCCAAAAAAATCAAATTTGATTTTGCCATTTGATTTTCCCAAACAAAATCGAAACATCTGCTCTGATCCTGAAAACCACCTTCACACCCAATTCCCCAAGCCAACAACGGGGAGACCCACGTCCAGCCCCGAAGCTGGAAAACTTGGAAAAGCCCCGATTTCTGCCGCTTACGAAACGTGTCCAACCCCAAAACCCCACTTGCAAAACCTTCGGGGCGAGGGATCTTGCTCAAGCGAGCGAGCCCTTGAGGGAAAGCGGCTCCCAGGGTCCCGGGAATCGTGTCGGATCCTGCCCCCGGTCCCATTCAATTCTAATTCCATGACTCAGAGGCGCTGGGGGGGTGGGGAGCTCCCTCTGCCCGTTACTTCCCTGCCTGCAAACAATGCATTTTTCAGCGCCTCCCGCAGCCGAGGTGTGTTGGACAAGGCAAGTCGCTGCAAGGCACATCAAGTCCCGAATCCCCGTGCCAAGTTTTCCAAGCAGATAAAAGAGGAGGCTCCCGAGCTCTCCCATCACAGGGGTTTCTGCCTCCCTCGCCCTCTGCTCTTTTCCTGCCGCGCAGCTTCGGTTCTCCGGCCCTTTTTTTCCCCTGCTCTTTGCGTCTGCAGCCACCATGAGCCGGATCTCTTTCCGATCATCCACCGGAGGGGGCATGAGGGGCTTCAGCTCGGGCTCTGCCATCGTGGGAGGCGGTGGCGGGGGCACCAGGAGCAGCTTCAGCTCCGTCTCCGTCTCCAGAGTCGGGGGAGGAAGAGCCGGAGGCGGAGGAGGCTTCGGAGCCGGCGGTGGCTTCGGCAGCAGGAGCCTCTACAACATGGGTGGAAGCAAAAGGATCTCCATCGGGGGTCTCCGGAGCGGAGCCGGTGGCGGATTCGGCTTCGGCGGCGGCGCCGGCTTCGGGCTGGGCTATGGTGGCGGTGGAGCCGCTTTTGGCTTAGGAGGAGCCGGTGCCGGTGGCGGTTACGGGCTGGGAAGCGGATTCGGGCTGGGAGGTCCCGGATTCGGCGGCCGAGGCGGCCCCGGGTTCCCCGTGTGCCCCCCCGGCGGCATCCACGAGGTGACGGTGAACCAGAGCCTGCTGGCCCCCCTGAAGCTCGACATCGACCCCGAGATCCAGAAGGTGCGGACGCAGGAGCGGGAGCAGATCAAGACCCTCAACAACAAGTTCGCCTCCTTCATCGACAAGGTGAGAGCTCGCTGCTGCCCGGCGGGCCGGGCCGGTTTTCGGCCGCCTCGGGAAAAAAACTTCAGGAAGAAACTTCCCTTGGATCCGGGGACCTGCCTGGACGGATCCCGGCCGGCAATCGGCGGGGCTTGGCTGGAAACTAAAGACCCGTCTGATGTTTCCTCTCGGAGAGGATGAGCTTCTCAGCACCTTCCTTTCACTGGCACAGTAATTCCCCCTTCTCCCCGTAAAACACGTCCCCGGGGGTTGGATGGATCTTCTCCTGGTTGTAAAATTCCAGCAATGGAATAACACCAGCTCTACGGTGGGATAACACCAGTAAGGCGGGCTGAGCATCCGCTGAGGGGAGAAACACCTAAAATCGCAAATACGGGTGTTTGGCCTGATCTAAACTCCGCAAAAGTTCCCTCTAAACATCTCCAGAGCCTTCTGGTACTTCTGAGAACCCGAAATAAGGATGTTCCCAATAATTCTGGCCAGATTGTCCCCGTGTCCCTTGACCTTCCAAGGCCACGAGAGGTGTTGACGATCCCACCTTTTCCCGGCGGTCGAGGTTTGGGGGGGGTGTTTTGGTGCCTTGGGTTTCAACAACACGTCCCCGTGATGGTTGTTTTTTGTTTTGTCCCTCGCCAGGTTCGCTTTTTGGAGCAGCAGAACAAGGTGCTGGAGACCAAGTGGAGCCTCCTGCAGGAGCAGGGGCACACGGTCACCAGGAAGTCCCTGGAGCCCCTGTTCGAAGCCTACATCGGCAACCTGCGGAGGCAGCTCGACAGCCTGGTGGGCGAGCGGGGCCGCCTGGACTCCGAGCTCAGGAACATGCAGGACATGGTGGAGGACTTCAAGAACAAGTAAGGGATCGTGTGGGGCAGCAGGAACAACCCCGGGCAGGAAAAGCCGGGCGGGCGGTTCCCTCCCTCCTGCCCGTTTCACACCTCGGCTTCGCGCCGGGTTTTCCTCTTCCCTGGGCTCAGGTTTAATAAATCCAACCCCTGGTTAGGCAGATTTGTTAAGTGCAAGGTCAGTGCTCGGCACAGAATTCCTGGGCAACTGGGTCTGACCCCTGGAGTGTCCCAAAATAACACTCCTGGGCACAGAGAAATGAGTAAATCAGGGGGATGATGGGCAGGCAGGGAGGGAGTGGAACGTGGCCACGAAATTCCAGCTCCCAGATGCCCCCAGTTCTCACTTTGTGAAGGAAATTCCGTCTTTTCCAGAGGGTCCAGTGAGCTGGGAGTGCTCAGCCTTGCTCAGCTCCCACCACCTGAGAGGTGTTCAGCTCTTGGACTTAAAAATATCCCTGGGGAGGAAATTCAGCCCCTCCCGGGACACAGTGGCCAGAGGGGGGGATGAACCAGTTTCAGGACACACCAGTTGGCACCTGAGAGGGATTTTGGGTGGGTTTTTAGGCAGGGTCATTGGGGTTTGGGTGGGATTTTAGGCAGGGCCATTGTTTTTGGGTGGGTTTTTAGGCAGGGCTGTTGGGGTTTGGGTGGGTTTTTAGGCAGGGCCATTGGGTTTTGGGTGGGTTTTTAGGCAGGGCCATTGTTTTTGGGTGGGTTTTCAGGCAGGGCTGTTGGTTTTGGGTGGGTTTTTAGGCAGGGCCATTGTTTTTGGGTGGGTTTTTAGGCAGGGCCATTGGGTTTTGGATGGGTTTTTAGGCAGGGCCATTGGGGTTTGGGTGGGTTTTTAGGCAGGGCCATTGGGGTTTGGGTGGGTTTTTAGGCAGGGCTGTTGGGGTTTGGGTGGGTTTTCAGGCAGGACTGTTGGTTTTGGGTGGGTTTTTAGGCAGGGCCATTGGGTTTTGGATGGGTTTTTAGGCAGGGCTGTTGGGGTTTGGGTGGGTTTTCAGGCAGGACTGTTGGTTTTGGGTGGGTTTTTAGGCAGGGCTGTTGGTTTTGGGTGGGATTTTAGGCAGGGCTGTTGGTTTTGGGTGGGTTTTTAGGCAGGGCTGTTGGGGTTTGGGTGGGTTTTTAGGCAGGGCTGTTGGTTTTGGGTGGGTTTTTAGGTAGGACTGTTGGTTTCTTGGTAGGTTTTTAGGCAGGGCTGTTGGTTTTTAGTTGGCTGCAGCCTGGTGAGAACAACCTCTCCCTTATTGAACCAGTCTGAGAGTCGCCCCAGAGGGCTGAAATTTGTTAATATTGGGTAATTAAGGCTGGGAAGAGGCAGATTTTTGGGAGGAGGGACGGGGAGACGGCGCTTTCATCTGACAGGAGGGACTGACGCAGCTCCTGCTGCGGGTTTGGGGGCGTTTCAGGCCTTGAAACGTGTTTTAGGCTTTCAGAAATACTGATCAGACCCCAAAAATTATTAATTCCATAGTCTGGATTTCAGAGGTGCCACCTGGGAAAAAGAGAAGAGGGAACAGGTTGGATTTCAGCTCTAGGAACAGGTTGGATTTTAGGTCTAGGTTGGTTCCCAAGTTTCAGAGGTGCCACCTGAGAAAAAGAGAAGAGGGAACAGGTTGGGTTTCAGATCTAGGAACAGATTGGATTTCAGGTCTAGGAACAGATTGGATTTCAGGTCTAGGGTTGGTTCCCACATGTCTGAGCTGCCACCTGGGAAGGAGAACACATTTTATTTCAAGTCTGGAGTTACTCAAGCCCAGAGTTCCCCTTCCACCGGCTCCTTCCCGTGCCTGCTCCGAGCTCCCGCCGCGGGGAACCCTCACCAGGATTGGTCTGGGGACTGGCACGAACCTGCCCCTGAAACCCAGGCCTTTGCCTGGAGAGCCCTCGTGTTCCGTCTGCTCTCCAGCCCGGCCCTGCCCTGGTTATCTGATGAGAGGATGTTGCTCAGAGCCACGAAAAGCTCCCCAGAACCCCGGGATGATCCTGCTCTTGCCCAACCCCGCCGTTTCATGTTTAATTAAACGCTGCGGCGGCTGATTCAGAGCCATCAGCGTCATTACAATATCAAATAGCAGCTGGCTCCCTCATTATGCCTTCGCAGGCTTTGTTGAAAGCCCTTTTTTTGCATAACTTTGCTCGGGGCAGAGGTCACCCGGGAGAGCAGCTCCCGCTTCCTGCCCGACCGGGCTCCACGGGCACATCCGCGTGTGAGCTCGGCTTCATGGGCGGCCACCGAAAGGGGCTCATTTGAGCCGGGCCTACTCACAGGCTGGAGGTTCAAAGGCAGCAATATTCGCCCCGAGTCTGCTCGGGATGAGCGGGTGGGAGGGTGGGAGCCGGGTGGGAGGGTGGAACCCGGCCGGGAGCCACAGCTGAGGCTCTGGGAGCGGGGCGGGCCCAGCTCCCGGTTCCCACCACGAGCCTCCCCCTCCCTTTCATCCTGGCAGATATGAAGATGAGATCAACCGGCGCACGGGGGCCGAGAACGAGTTCGTGGTGCTCAAGAAGGTGAGGGAGCCGGGAATTGTGGGAACCAAAAGGGAATTGTGGGAATCAAAAGGGAATTGTGGGAATCAAAAGGGAATTGACTCACTCAGTGGAACTGGTGGGGGTTGGGGTCCTCCAGCCGACCCTTCTCCCCTGTGCTGTCCCTCCATCCCTTGTCCCCAGTCCCTCTCCAGCTCTCCTGGAGCACCTTCAGGCTCTGGAAGGGGCTCCAAGGTCTCCCTGGAGCCTTCCCTTCTCCAGGGGAACACACACTCATCCCATCCCATCCCATCCCATCCCATCCCATCCCATCCCATCCCATCCCATCCCACCTCCACTGGCTTGGAGAAGGCTCCAGGGAGAGCTCAGAGCCCTTCCCAGGGCCTGAAGGGCTCCAGGAGAGCTGGAGAGGGACTGGGGACAAGGGCTGGAGGGACAGACACAGGGAATGGCTTCCCACTGCCAGAGGGCAGGGAGAGATGGGATTTTGGGAAGGAATTCCTCCCTGGGAGGGTGGGGAGGCCCTGGGATGGATTTCCCAGAGGAGCTGTGGCTGCCCCTGGATCCCTGGGAGTGTCCAAGGCCAGGTTGGATCCCCCTGGGATGGTGGGATAGGGGTTGGAACGAGATGCTCTTTATGGTCTCTTCCAACCCGAACCATCCCACGATTCCATGATTCCATGAGTAACAGACCCGGAAGCAGGGTCCCTGCTGTCCCCACTCCCCTCTGGCTCCTGGATTTCACCAGAAATCCCTGGGTTTCCTTCCCTTAGGACGTGGACGGTGCCTACATGAACAAGGTGGAGCTGCAGGGCAAGGCAGACTCGCTGGCAGAGGAGATCAACTTCCTGCGGGCTCTCTACGAGGCGGTGAGCGCCCAAAATTCCCTGGAGAGGGTCTTAACGGCTCCTTCCCTATGGATCATCCCATCCCAGAGCTCTGGGACCCAAAATTCCCCTGGAGAGAATGGATCATTCCCACACCCAGAGGATCATCCGGCATCATCCCATCCCAGAGCTCTGGGACCCAAAATTCCCCTGGAGAGCATCCTCACAGCTCCTTCCCTATGGATCATCCCATCCCAGAGCTCTGGGACTCACAATTCCCCTGGGGAGCATCCTCATGGCTCCTTCCCTATGGATCCCCATCATCCTAGAGCTCTGGGACCCAAAATTCCCCTGGAGAGCATCCTCACAGCTCCTTCCCTATGGATCCCCATCATCCTAGAGCTCTGGGACCCAAAATTCCCTTGGGAAGTGTCCTCATGGCTCCTTCCCTATGGATCCCCCATCCCAGGGCTCTGGGACCCAAAATTCCCCTGGAGAGCATCCTCACAGCTCCTTCCCTGTGGATCCCCAGTCCCAGAGCTCTGGGAGCTGTGCCTGGGGCTGTCCAGCACCAAGAGAGGGTGGTCCCAGCCTCTTTGGAAGTGACAGAGCAGGAATAAGGTGGAAAATGCCGACGGAGCAGCGGAAACGCAAGGGAAGAGCTCGGGGAGAGTTCCCAAAGCACTTCCACCCCCGGCCATTGACCCCGTGTCTCTCCCGGCGGGCAGGAGCTGTCCCAGATGCAGCAGCAGGTGTCGGACACCTCGGTGGTGCTTTCCATGGACAACAACCGGAGCCTGGACCTCAACAGCATCATCGCCGAGGTGAAGGCGCAGTACGAGGACATCGCCAACCGCAGCCGCGCCGAGGCCGAGGCCTGGTACCAGAACAAGGTGGGTCCCGGGAGCACGGCCTGACTCCTGGGATCCAGGGGGTGTCAGGGCTCTGACATTGGGCTCACTGGTACCAGAACAAGGTGGGTCCTGGGAGCACGGCCTGATTCTGGGAGCACGGCCTGATTCTGGGAGCACGGCCTGATTCCTGGGAGCACGGTCTGATTCCTGGGATCCAGGGGGTGTCAGTTCTCTGACATTGGGCTCACTGGTACCAGAACAAGGTGGGTCCTGGGAGCACGGCCTGATTCCCAGGAACACAGCCTGATTCCCGGGATCCAGGGGGTGTCAGTGCCCTGACCTCGAGCTCACTGGTGGCTCTGACCTGACACCCTTTCCCTCCCGGGCTGTTGTGTGGGCTCTACAATCACGCCGAGCATCGACAACCGGCGGCAAACGCTGCCCTTCCACAGGCAGCTTTCCCAAGGGAATGTTGTCCCCCGGCCCTTTCCCCACATCCAGACCTGCTCCCGGTGCCCCGCAGCCCCCTCTGCTCCCCTGAGCCCCCCCCGGGGTGTAACCAGTGCTCTCCTCCCCTGTCCCAGTACGAGGAGCTGCAGGTCTCGGCCGGGCGCCACGGGGACGACCTGAGGAACACCAAGATCGAGATCTCGGAGATCAACAGGATGGTGCAGAGGCTGCGCAACGAGATCGACAGCGTGAAGAAGCAGGTGGGACGGGGGGGTCCTGCAGGGGGGTCCTGCAGGGGGGTCCCTCAGGGTGCAGGGTGGGTGGGAGCTGGTGGAGGTTGGGCATGTTGGAAAGAGCCAGATCCCACCAGGAGCTGGACCAGGCTCCCCAGGGCAGCGGTGCCAAGCCTGGCAGAGCTCCAGGAGTGCTTGGACAAAGCTCTCAGGCATGGGGTGTGATTTTTGGGGTGTCCCGTGCGGGGCTAAGAGTTGGACTCGACAGTCCTTGTGATCCCCCTGTGGTTCTCTGGGCTCTCAGTGACACTCTGGTGTCTGCACCCCCCCAGCAACACTCGGGAGAGCTGTTTGGGGCATCCCAAGCCAACCAGGTCCCTGCTCTCCCCCCTCCCAGTGTGCCAACCTCCAAGCCGCCATCGCCGAGGCCGAGGAGCGCGGGGAGCTGGCCCTCAAGGACGCCAAGGCCAAGCTGAGCGAGCTGGAGGACGCCCTGCAGAAGGCCAAGCAGGACCTGGCCCGGCAGCTCCGCGAGTACCAGGAGCTCATGAACGTCAAGCTGGCCCTGGACATCGAGATCGCAACCTACAGGAAGCTGCTGGAGGGCGAGGAGAGCAGGTGGGGACACGGGGACCTGTGTGTGCTGCTGCTCCTCAGGGCAGGGACCCTCTCCCTGCGCTCAGAGAGCTCCTCCCGAGGGGCCGGAGCTCCGGGGCAGAGAGGGACGGTGAAATCATGTAGGAAAAGCTTCGTTCCCCCAAGCTCCCGGCGCTGCTCAAAACGCGCGTTGTCACCTCCCGGCGCTGCTCAAAACAAACATTGTCACCTCCCGGCACTGCTCAAAATGAACATTGTCACCTCCCGGCGCTGCTCAAAACGCGCGTTGTCACCTCCCGGCGCTGCTCAAAACGAGCGTTGTCACCTCCCGGCGCTGCTCAAAATGAACATTGTCACCTCCCGGCGCTGCTCAAAACGAGCATTGTCACCTCCCGGCACTGCTCAAAACCAACATTGTCACCTCCCGGCGCTGCTCAAACGCGCGTTGTCACCTCCCGGCGCTGCTCAAACGCGCGTTGTCACCTCCCGGCGCTGCTCAAAACGCGCGTTGTCACCTCCCGCCCGTGGCCCGGCCCTGCCCCAGCCCAGAGACCCCCCGGGAGCCTCGCTGGGTGCTCCCAGGGACAGTCGTTGGCGTCATTCCTCACTTTCCCCTTTCCCACCAGGCTGGCTGGAGAAGGAGTGGGAGCCGTCAGCGTCTGTAAGTACCTCCCCCCTCCCTCTCTCCCTACAGACCCCCCCAGTTTGGGGTTTTGGGGGGCAGCGGGACCCTAACGCGGCCGTTCGCGGTGTGTCCCCCCCCAGCCGTGGTCAGCAGCTCCAGCGGGATGGGATACGGCGGCGGGAGCTGCCTGGGGATGGGCGGAGGGCTCGGGATGGGCGGCGGCGGCGGCGGCGGATTCTCCGTGAGCGGCGGCGGCTTCGGGGGCGGCAGCGGCGGCGGCTTCGGGGGGCTCAGCTACGGCGGGGGCAGCACCTTCAGCTCCGGCAGCAGCCGAGGCGTGAGCTCCAGCACGGGCGGCAGCGTCAGGATCGTCTCCAAGACCACCACCAGCAAAAAGACCATCAGATAAGGGCGGAGAGCCCCCCGGGGGCGGCGGGAGCGGGTCCCGCCCGCCCCTGCCCTGCGCGTCCAGGGTGTAAATAGCTGCGCTAGACCCTCTGCTTCCTCCGTCCTTCACCTCCGGGCCCGCGGGGGGGGCTCCAGGACCCCCCCTCCGGAACCCGGAGCGCCTTTGGCCGAAGCACCGGTTGTGGCGGGTCCCCGGCGGGGCTTTGCGGACCCCCGGGAGCGCCTCTGTCCTCGGTCTCCCTTTGGATTCGCGCTCCAAAGGGAAGGGGAAGCGCATCCCTGATCGGGGACGAGGTTTCGTTCGTCCTAAGCCACGTCTGATCACTTTGTGGAGCCACAGCCCCGGGTCCTCTCCTCCGAGAGGCTCCCAAAGCCTCTGCCCGCGACTCCGGTTACAACCTCCAAAGGTTTTTCTCTGCAACAAGATTTTCCCCCCCAGCCCCTCTGTTCTCTCAGGCCCCCGCGGGAAAGGCTTTGCTTGGTGTGTGTTTGGTTTCTAACTCCCCGTCCCCGGGGCTGCAGCCCCTTCACCTCCAGGCCCAACACACGGGAAGGTCCAATAAAGAGCATTTGTCATTTTTAAAGCCTGCTGGGCTTTGGCTTTTCTTCTCTGCCGGCCCGGGGTGCCCGTGCCCCATCCCGGGGTGCCTGTGCCCCATCCCGGGGTGCCTGTGCCCCGTCCCTGCTGCGGGGGGGACACTCTGGGGGCAGATCCTGGGACAGGATCGGCTCCCCGAGGAAACAAAACTCAGCTTTAGGAGCTGGGCTCTGGGACAAGTCAGGGAAAGTGGGAAGGAGGGTGGGATGAGTTATCTGGGCCTGTGGAAGGGGGAAAGGAGGGTGGGATGAGCAACCAGATCCAGTGGAAGAAGGAAAGGAGGGTGGGATGAGCAGCCTGGGCTCATGGAGGGTGGGAAGGAGGGTGGAATGAGCAACCAGATCCAGTGGAAAATGGAAAGGAGGGTGGGATGAACAGCCTGGAATGGTGGAAGGGGGAAAGGAGGGTGGGACAAGCAACCAGACCCAGGGGAAGAAGGAAAGGAGGGTGGGATGAGCAGCCTGGAGTGGTGGAAGGTGGGAAGGAGGGTGGGATGAGCAGCCTGGAGTGGTGGAAGGTGCCCCTTCTCATGGCAAGGGGGTGGAACTGGGTGGCCTTCAAGGTCCCTTCCAGGCCCAACCATTCCATGACTCCATGGATGGAGGACTGAGGCACAGGGGAGGAAAAGCTGCCTCGGGACTGAGCCAAAAGCCGGATGAGTCCCACTGCGGTGAGACAGGATCGGCTCCTTGGGAAAAAACTCTCAGCTTTAGGAGCTGAGCTCTGGGACAGGTTGGGGAAGGTGGGAAAGGAGGGTGGGATGAGCAGCCTGGAATGGTGGAAGGGGGAAAGGAGGGTGGGATGAGCAGCCTGGAATGGTGGAAGGTGAGAAGGAGGGTGGGATGAGCAGCCTGGGTCTGTGGAAGATGGAAAGGAGGGTGGGATGAGCAGCCTGGAGTGGTGGAAGGTGGGAAGGAGGGTGGGATGAGCAGCCTGGAGTGGTGGAAGGTGGGAAGGAGGGTGGGATGAACAGCCTGGAATGGTGGAAGGTGGGAAGGAGGGTGGGATGAGCAGCCTGGAATGGTGGACTTTGGAAATTCGGGTTGGATTCGCCGCCTGAGTGGTGGCAGGTGGGCAGGCGGGTGGGATGAGCAGCCTGGAGTGTGTGTCTTTTGTAAGTATGGTGGGATGAGGCAAGCCTGGAGTTGGTGGCGGTTTTCCTTACTGTTGTGTGCTGATCACGCCTTAGGCTTGTGGTCCTTTCCTCTCCCACCCCCATGGACCATTTGTGCTTTGACTGTTCCCACGGTTTTCCTATTTTTTTTCATCCCCCCCACTCTCCTTCTTCCCTTTCTGGCGGACTTCGTCACAGGGGCTTCCCCGCTGCCTCGGGACTGAGCCAAAAGCCGGATGAGTCCCCTCCTGGGGGTGACCTGCACAGCTGCCCTTTCTGCCTGTCCCTGCCCGAGGGAGGGAGCACAGGGAGGTGGGAAAAGGAGGATTCCTGGAGGCTTAGCTGGGATTCATGAGCTGGCTCGTGCAGGGGAAGCTGTTAGTTGGTACAAGGGGTAGTTAATCTCTCCTGGGAGGAGCCCAGCCCTGGAATCAGCGGCACGGGGAGGACACGGAGGGATCGGTGTCACAGCAGGGAGGGGACGGAGCACAGGGACCAGGAGGGGTGGGCACGGGGCAAAGAGCCCCAAACCTGCACACCCAGTGCTGGCACATGGAGCTTTCCCCAAATATCCCGTGAAATATCCCGGCTGTGCCTCCGGAAGGGCAGTTTTGGGGCCTCGGCTTCATTTGGAATGGACCCAAAGTCTTTGAGGTGCCCCCGGCACCCGGACCCCCAATTCCCACCGGCCCCCCCGGGGGGGGTTCCATGAGCCCCTGGATGGAGGGTTTCAGCTCCTGAACTGATTCCAGGCTCCCTCCTGGGGCTCCGGGGGCATCCCCTGGATCTCACTCCCTGCCAGGGCTGGGGGGGAATCCCTGGGGCAGCAGGGAGGGGGCAGAGGTGGGAACCCGGCCCCGAGGGCGGGAGCACGAGGTGGGAATTCCTAAAGGCAGGAATATAAGGCGGGAACTCCAAAGGCAGGAATAAAAGGTGGGAACTCTCAAAGCAGGAATATGAGGTAGGAACTCCAAAGACAGGAATAAAAGGTGGGAACTCCAAAGACAGGAATATGAGGTAGGAACTCCAAAGACAGGAATAAAAGGTGGGAACTCTCAAAGCAGGAATAAAAGGTGGGAACTCCAAAGGTAGGAATAAAAGGTGGGAACTCCAAAGGCAGGAATAAAAGGTGGGAACTCTAAAGGCAGGAATAAAACGTGGGAACTCTAAAGGCAGGAATACGAGGTAGGAACTCAGTCCTGAAGGTGGGAACACGAGGTGGGAACTCCAAAGGCAGAACACGAGGTGGGAATCCAGCCCTGGAGGCAGGACCACAAACCAAGGGTGAGGAAAGGGGTCGGGGCAGGAGGGGAGAGACCAGGAAGGACCCACAGCCCTCGGGGTCCCAAAAGGAGCCTGGTTGGTGCCCACCCAGCCCTCGATCCCTGCAAACTCCAGCTGGGGGAGAAGGGAGGCGTCAGCCGTGCCTGGAAGGGAAAAGCTCATCATGGAACGTCCTGGAGAAGCCGCAGGGAAACCCCTCCGAGCTCCTGCCCCGGCGGGACCCCCGCGCCCATCGCCTGGCACCTCCCAGATCCCACCCGGCACCTCCCAGATCCCACCCGGCACCTCCCAGATCCCACCCGGCACCTCCCAGATCCCACCCGGCACCTCCCAAATCCCACCCGGCGTCTCCAGCAGGTGGGGACCCAGAGCAGGGAAAGGCTCGGAGCCCTCGCGGCGCAGGATCGTGGGATCAGGGAATGAATGTGCTGAGCTGGAAGGGACCCACCGGGATCACCCGTCCCAGCTCCCTGCGCGGGACACACCAAGAATCCCTCCCTGTGCTGGGACACCGAGTCCCTTCCTCTTGTCCCCACAGCGCCTCGGGAGTTGTGGGATCTCTCACCGATCCCCTCCCTCCTCACTGGGACCTCTCACTGATCCCCTCCCTCCTCACTGGGATCTCTCACTGATCCCCTCCCTCCTCACTGGGATCTCTCACCCACCCCTCCCTCCTCACTGGGATCTCTCACTGATCCCCTCCCTCCTCAGTGGGATCTCTCACCCACCCCTCCCTCCTCACTGGGACCTCTCACTGATCCCCTCCCTCCTCAGTGGGATCTCTCATTGATCCCCTCCCTCCTCACTGGGACCTCTCACTGATCCCCTCCCTCCTCACTGGGATCTCTCACTGATCCCACCCTCCTCACTGGGATCTCTCACTGATCCCCTCCCTCCTCACTGGGATCTCTCATTGATCCCCTCCCTCCTCACTGGGATCTCTCACTGATCCCCTCCCTCCTCACTGGGGCCTCTCACTGATCCCCTCCCTCCTCACTGGGATCTCTCATTGATCCCCTCCCTCCTCACTGGGATCTCTCACATCTCTCCCCACTCCCCTCCCTCCTCATCCTCACTGCTCGGGGGGGTCCCGCCTTCCCGGAGCATCCAGACCCTCTGATGCCCTCGGATCCCCGTCTCCCAGGGGCATTTCCCCCCCGAGCAGCCCTGGGGGGTTTGGAACCCGAATCCTCATCTCCCGGGGGTGCTCCTGCCCCTGGGGAAGTGCCCCCCAATGTCCCTTCGGGAGGTGCCTCCTTCCAGCCTGGATTCCCACACCTGGAAGCTCGGGGTGGGACAAAGAGATGGAAAAGCTCAGAGATCCAACTTCTCATGGAATGCTGGGGCTGGAACCAGTGGGATCCCCCTGTAATGTCCACCCTGTGGGTCCCTTCCAGCTCAGCAGGTTCTGGGATTCCCAGCTCGCTGTGCGGATCCGGTTGTTTTAACGGGGAGAAATTAAACTCCACACGCTCCCGGGGTGGAAAACGGGCCCAGGGGCAGCTCTGGGGGCAGGATGGAGCTGAGGGACGGGGGCTGTGCGGGCACAGAGCTGCTCTGAGCTCACGGGGCTCCCCAGCAGCCCCATTCCCAGGGCTCCGTGTCCCTCATCGGGAGGAAGGAGACGTGCCCTGGGGCCCTGGGAAAGGAGATGTGGCAACATCTGGGAGCACCCTCAGCCTGCTGGATCTGGTTTGCCACGTGCAGCTCGGGAAGGTCACAGCCCCAACGGCCCTGACTGGGCTTGGGGAGTTCTCCAAAGGTCTTAAAAGGGGATGTGGGGGATTTGGGTTCCTTTGGGTACCACCATCCAAGCACCGGAGCAGGATAGAGGAGAACCAGGGTGGGATAAAGGAGCACCAGGGTGGGATAAAGGAGCACCAGGGTGGGATAAAGGAGCACCAGGGTGGGATAAAGGAGCACCAGGGTGGGATAAAGGAGCACCAGGGTGGGATAGAGGAGCACCAGGGTGGGATAGAGGAGCACCAGGGTGGGATAGAGGAGT